TATGTAATTTTTTGAAGATACCACTGACAAAAGGTCACACGCCTTGAAAAATCAATGGGAAGTAATGCCTGTACTCTTAAAATACGGTAAGGATATAACAAAAAATCTACTAAAATTCTCAAAACAATTTGATAGCAAATATTTAAGTGTCTAGCGATCTCCCTTGTACTCATTTCAGGATGTTCGTCGACTTCGTGCAGCACTGCTTCCTCAATTTCAGGTGTTCTCACACTTAGGTTTGACTATCTGGCAAAGCACGATCGGGATATTTCTGGTGATAAATCCGTCTGGCTTGCTCACCATTATCGTCGACAAGGCCATATACGTAATGCATTTCCGCCACTTCTGCATTTGAATAGTTCACCATTATTAACAAGATTGTAAAAACTAAATAATGAAAAAGATGTCACAGCGAACAGATTTGAATAACAGAGACTTGTCAGATGTCAAAAGCCAGTGACACACTCCAGAACAACTAGGTATTTATTGCTAAATTGCATTCTTCAATTATTACATTAATTTTCTCGGGCAATAAAACGGTTTTTATTTTTTTACTCAAAAATGGCGCATCGAAGGAAAACAATTCAAGAGAGACCATTTGTTTTAAATTGAACGTGGAATTAAAAAATAATTTTTCTTCGGCGTACCATTTTTTTCTTAAAAAATATCGCAGTCAATACCCGTACGCACGTCACTGTTAAAGCTAAAAATTATTTTTGCATTGAAAAATATGTAACTTTACTAACTTTCACTACGTACTAAATATCAGTGAAATATCTGGAGCGGTTCTGAAAATATTAATTAATTTCCATTTTTTCCTAAAACTTCAACACCCCGAGTATAAAACGTCACGAAATGGCGGTAACTTTCTTGGCTTGAAACTTTTCAATGCCTCATTTTATGAAGATTTTTCTTTTGTCAAGAGCTTTCTTTGACATCCATGAATTCATGTCTTACGATTTCTCGAGTTTGAGATAGCCTTCCTATTTTTTTGCTATCCTTCTATACATATTTTGCCTTTGATTGTCTTATTTATAATCTGATATTGTTTTTATTTTATTATCTCTTGTCTTGTCTAGCAACGTTGACGCGGCAACCTGCCACGTTGCCATTATGGTACACCAGCTCTTTGAATAATCAAAATGCTGAAAATATGCGTTAGTTTATTGTCTACGCCCAATCAATGGTTTTATTTTAAGCGTACGCATTTGCGAATTGCGAGATGTGTCAAATCTGCTCCGGATCGATTCCAGATCGGTCCATTTTAGGTCGAAAGGAAAGGTAAGGATCGCCACAAATTCTGCAACATTGCATCATTGTCCGCTTGGCATCAGCGCATCTTGTACATTCCAGGGCAAGGTTTCCACCTCTATGATCATAGATGAGCGGTGAAAACAGATATTTAATTAAATGTGATGACCTTCGCTCTTCAGCCAGCTTCTATCCTTTTCTAACATGTATTGATACACACTTCTCGCGCATTGAACTCAAGCCATGAGATTTGGTTTTCCCTGTATTCTATCTCAATCATTCATTCAACGACTAATTGACTATTTATCCCTATCTTAGATACGACACAATCAACCACCCGTCTTGCAGATATCCCCATTATGCGTTGTCAAGAACACCTATTAACAGCGTAATTAACCTACGTAGGAATAAATACATCATCTTGGCGTGAAGGTGTGACAGGATAGGATAGGGGGTAGAGAAATGTACTAATGCCGAGCTGTGCTCTATTAATCGATCAGCTAGTTTCGCAACACGCAGTTCGGCTTTATTAAGCGTTGAGGTTTATAGCACTAAATATAACAAATCGACGTCAACACGAATGAAATTTGCCGCCATGTTTTTGCAGTAAAGCGTCACCTGTCACTTGTCATTATTGCCAATGCCACTGTTGTTGTTTATTTCCAAAACTGATATTTGTTTATCTCAAAAGCAGCGTTGCGATTGAGGAAAACAAGTCAAACAATATAAAATTGGGTTCTTTACACAAAAATAAAACAATATAAGTGACTATTGCCATTTATTTCAGATGTGATATTACAATACAAAAATAATCAATAACAAGGATAAATATGATTCTCAGAACTTCAATTATTATGCTTCTCAGATAGCCCAGAAAAAATATTAATCACACGCACACAATTACTTTGAAACAGCTGACCGATATTTTTAAAAAAATAATCTAGTGGTGGAAATAAACAATTATACAGTAATTTAGGTCTCACACAAATTTTTACGAGATTTACATTTTCGTAAGCAGCGATGAGCTAAAGTGCGTAATCGAAGATAAGTCTTTACGGTGTTCTCGTGTAGTAGTTCAGCGACCACAACCTGCGTTAGTGAAGCAATTTCACACCTAGTGCTGGTATTTGCCGGGTTGTGGAAATTTTTACAGAAATCGGCCTCCATTGGTGAATTTTGTCGGGACCTTTTTCACACCGTTGTTACAGCTACACCTGAGCCAGTGAGCTGAGCGAACTTCTTAGAGATTTGTTTGTTCCATAAATGTTTGCCTTGTGAATTTGTGTTTCCTTTAGCTCCAGAGACCCATCATTTGGCAGTCAGTTCAAATTTAAGTTTTACCAACTGAGGTACAGGGTTAGTTATATTTTTCCCCAAATTATAACTAGAAATCTAGACAGAATAAGACAGTTACGCGGGATAACACTGGCTTTTTTACATGTCCAATAAACCTCAATTTGGTTTAAAAAATGACACCAAGAATTTTAGCGGAAACCGTGAACTCTTAACATCTGGTTGTCTATAGTAATTTTTGAGGAAGCACAATGCTCTTGTTTAGTTCACTACATAATAAAAGGATCATGGATTTACCTGGATTGACCTCAGGTTTCTCAAGCCGTTAACATCATGTTGCAAAATTTCACTGGTATTGGACTTACACGATGTTTTTGCACTGAACGTGTATTGCCTGCTGTTATTTGAAGGGAAAAAACGTAGTGACTTCCGAGTTGTTTACTAAAATTACGCATCTTTAATGAATTTAAAAAAAATCAATTCAATTCCTTTCTTGTTTTCTGTTTATTAATTAAAGACTACATATATATAATAATAATAATAATAATAATAATAAAGGGTCTTTATTGCACTAAACATTTAGTACATTACGAGGGGCGAGGTTTAGCGTGAGCTATTCTTCCACCTAACCCCATTTTGATATTTTATACGAAATTACATAGAAATGGATGACATTAACTATGGTACATACATTTAAATCGGTTTGTTTTAAACCAACAAAACTGTGATCAAAGGGTGTTTTTTAAAAAATCAACCATCATTAACCAATAAATATAAGTGGCAATTCATGTTTGCGAGAGAAGATCGGACTTCAATTTTAATTTAAAGGTTTTAATATTCAGAATATTTTTGAAATGAAAATTAATACTGTTGTAATATTTAACGGCATTGTAAATAAAAGTTCTTGAATATAAAACAGTACGGTGGACTGGCAGTATAAAGAAATATCCTTCTTGCCCTTCTTTATTATTGATATATGTTGTCCCAAATGACAAATGCGTATCTACAGTGTCAACAAATCTCTCTACTCTCAGCGCTAATTTCATTCCTGGTGAATTGTGCTCTAATTAAGCGGGGAATCTCTAGAGAAAAAACATGCTCGCTGTTACATTCGAGCATTCGTCTTCGATGCTTGTGGTATGAGATTGCATGGAAATTATGTCACCCTACGTCATACGGATATATAAGACCACTATATATTCATATACAAAATCTACATATTCCAGAAAAATAGTCAAAGTGATAGACTCAGTTATATCGCCTGATTTCTCTATATCCCTTTTGAAATATACACAATATTTTTTTTCTAGTTCTTCAGTTGACTGTGACTCAATATGGTTAAGTGTCCTTGAAGAAAAGATCTAACTGATAACATCCAACCAAACTAACTAAATCATGAGTTTGAATCCTGGTATTTTCTTGTGGTTTGTTACTGGATCTCTAACGCACAGATGTGTGTGTGTGCATCTTATTTTAATTTCTCACAGGTCAAACAACATAGTCCCGTTTAGATGGCGAAGTACTACGTCTCGCGATTCAACGTATTTGCAACATTTTAGTCCAAGATTGCATAATAATTATCAACCGGTGTGCCGAAAACAGCTTTGGGTGGGTATTCGCGTTATTTTGTAGTCTTCGGGACGATGGAAGAGGGTGATGTATTTGGTACATTAAAAAATGACATATGACCTCATGCTCGCTTGTCGTTTTGAAGGGTTAGACGTCCTTTTTTGGAAGTGGGAATGCCTACCCCAGCGGTCCTGGTTTTGCGCGATATTTGGAATGCGCAACCTCTGCATGTTACGGGAGATTTCACACTATTGTAGTAAAACACAGTGCAGGAATGCGGAAGTGAAAAAACAAAAGAACTGTCACCTGAAAGACGACAGATAAATAAACCATATTGTCAAAGTCATAGTACTGAAGAAGGTCACCGTTGTGACCGAAACGTTTATAATACAATTTTCTTCAACACTTGTAGCGTCGATTGGTCAGAGAAATATGGGAATTTGTCGACATAAAAAAGATTCTGATGTTACATAACTGGGAGCTTCTGAAAAGTCAAAAACGATGTTTTGGTGATTTTGGGTATGGAACAGAATATTTTTCCGAGCAGATGCTAAGATACTTGGACCGATTGGTTTAGTGTGGGATATGAAGGAGCGATCAAACCACATGTACCTCGTAGGGTGAATTCATCCCCAGATTTCTGAAAAATAGCATGATTCTTATACGCCTGCACAGGCATTTACCGCTCGCTAGCCGATAGGAGTAAGCGAATTTCAACATTGCTCGCTGGTGGTTATTTTGATAGGGAGCAAATGCCATAAGGATAAACCATAGTCCAGACCCAAGGGAATCTCTAAGAATCATAAAATAAAAATAATTCGTTTTTTTTTTTTATATATCGAAACAGCCGCGCAGGCAGAAGCCTAAATGCCGGAACACCGCGGCTGCTATGATGATCCCAAAGAAATTTTGTTAATACGTTTGTTTTTAAAAACAAGGTGAATGCACCTACACGCACACAATACTAAAAATGGTGGGAGCGTCACCTAACAATAATTCATCAGCATCTATTGAAGTGTCAGTATTTTTTATGGTTGAAGGATTGTATTTATTCACACTTGTTTCTGTGGAGTGAAAAAAATCAACCGTTTGATTCTTGAAATAACCCTTATGCCATTTACATGACCTCTTATGAGAAATTTGATTATTTCACCTATTTTCGTCGCACAAGTTTATATAGATGTTTGAAAAACTAATTACAGTGAAAGCTCCCATAAGCGGACACTCACGGTTCCGTAACTTTTGTCCGCTTATGGGAGGTGTCCGTTTAAAAGAGAGTATGTAAGTATAGAGTATAAATAACGGGGTGTATAATCATGAGGAAATGAGGTATTATAATCATGAGAAAAATGAAACAGAAACTCGCCACATTTTTAAAGTATGTATTTATGCTATATATGTATATAATATATGTACATATACGCATACAAAAACATAAATGCTTCAATACATGGTACGAGAATTTAAAAAAAACATTATTCTTTAGCTTGTTGAAAAAAGTTTAAAATGTTTGTCTGACGAAATTTCACCATCTTTTGCTGAAGGAGACAATTTTCGTAATAACTTTCTAAATTTTTCAAATGTTGAAATGCAGTGAAATCATCTTTAGCAAATTTTTTCAATATAGAAATATGATTTAGAGCTTCCCCATATGAATTTATCGTTTTTGAACCGCTTAGTGAGTCCACCAGTTCCACTTCTTCTTCTGAGTCGTTTGGACTACCATATTCAAGTTGGCCTGGGCTTTCTACATCCAAATTCGAAAAGTTGCCAATGGCATTTTCTTCTGTTGTTATGTTATTGTCTATGGCCAGGAAATCATCTACTTTCTGGGGATCTGCTACTCCTAAATGTTTGGCATGTCGCAGTAACTGAGCAAGTGTCGCTAAGGGCAGATCGTCTTCAGCATCGCAATAATTTTGCTCAGCAAATTCTGAGCTACATTCACTTTTTCTGAATCCAGCTTTGCCAAAACAGTTTTTAATTGTAGAGGAATTTACTTTATTCCATGCTGTTTTTATAAAATACAAAGCTTCAAACACATTGATAGACTTTGTAAGCTCAGATAAGCTTTGACCATCGTCAATTTTTGTCAAAATATGTTTTAAAATCAAGTGCCGATAATAAAATTTAAAGTTCTGTATGACACCTTGATCCATGGGCTGACAAACAGAAGTTGTGTTTGGCGGTAAAAATATAATTTTCACATTTTTCATTTTCATATCACGAGGATGAGAGCATGCATTGTCTAAAAATAAAAGAACTTGCCTTTTTTGGATTCTCATTTTCCGGTCGAATTCGACTAACCACTCAGACATGATTTCTCGGGTCATCCATGCCTTTTTGTTGGATTTCCAAGTCGCTGGTAGATCCTTAATAGCAACGTTTTTTAAAGCACGGGGACGAGCCGCTTTCCCTATCACAATCAAATCGCATTTTTCACCGGCCATATTTGCACAGAATAAAATGGTTAGTCTATCTTTAGACAACTTTCCACCCACACATGTTTCTCCTTTAAAGGACACAGTTTTGTCGGGCAATGCGCGAAAAAAAAGTCCACTCTCATCTGCGTTGTACACATCTTCTGGTTTGTAGCCAAGCAACATGGACGGAAGTTTCTCCAAAAATTGTGACACATCAACTTGATCTACTGCAGCAGCTTCGCCAGATATGCATTTGAAACTCACACTATGTCTCTTGCGCCACTTTTGCAGCCACCCGTCGGACGCACTGAAATTATTATAGCCCAAAGTAGTGGCGATTTCTTTAGCTTTCATTTTCACTAACGGCCCTGAGATTGGAATGTTCTGACTTCTAGCTTTCACAAACCACTCAAAACATGTTTTGTCTATAGCAAAACCTTCCTTTTTTAAAAAATCCTTCTTTTGATTTATATTAGTTCCTGATTGCCATTTACTCCTGATATCTTCCTTATTTTTGACAATTTCAGCTGCTTGCGTTTTCCCAATATTAAACCTCTTTGCCAAATGACGAACTGAAACACTTTCTCTGTCTAATACGTTAACAACTTCCTTCTTTTCCTTTAACGAGAGCATCCTTTTTTTTGGTGCCATTTTACAGTTACAATAATAAAATACGTAACTCAATCAACTACGAATTTGCCTGAACTGAAGACAAGCCACAAGATTACATACAGGCTACCCAACGAAATGCGTAAATGGGGAATCACCTAATATAAATCGGGGAATTACCGAATTTTATGTATGTAGATATGTGCATTGCAATAAGCGGAACTAAAAAATCGTCCGGGTATTAGAGTTTCGCGTCCGCTTATGGGAGATTTTTTGATCACATACAAGAAAATCTAGTGTCCGCGTCCGTTTATAAGAGCGTCCGTTTATCGGAATGCATTTAACATTGAAAATTGATGGCTGAAATTCGGTTCCAGGAACTTTGTCCGGTTAAAAGAGATGTCCGCTTATAGGAGCTGTCCGCAAGGAGAGCTTTCACTGTATATATGAAAATTGAGGGACATTAAAACGTTACCCCAATATGTGAACAACAAAATCCACTATGTCGTTTTTGTACTATGTGTGTCACCTGGAAGACAGGTAAATAAAATATACCTATTGTCAAAATCATTAGACTGAAGGTCACCGTTGTGACAGAAACGTTTGAAATAAACATTTTTTTCAATACCTGCTTCGATTGGCCAGAGAAATATGGGGGATTAAATAAACACCGACGTGAAACAGTAACAGATTACATGATTGCGAGCCTCTAAAAAGTCAAAAAACAAAGTTTTGGTGATTTTAGATCTGGTTCAAGAATACAGGTATGTAAACAAAATGTATCAGAAGATTCTTCCGACCAGATGCTAAGATACTTCCTTGGCTAGATGGGCCAAGCGTGTGTGCTATAGAAATGAGAAAACCACTTGTACCTCGTACGGTATACCCACCCCCAGAGGTCTGAAATATAGCACGGCTCTTATAATTAAAAGCAAACAAAAACGTTCTGCACTGCAGTGTCTTTAATCACCTCACCGTTCATCGTACGTATCGTTTCTTCTTGTATTTTTGCCGAGCCAATAAAGAATGTTCCTCCTGTGGGGAATAAGAGTTTCCGCGATCCGGGAGCCTCTAGTTGCCTGCGAGCGGTCCCGCCGCCGGAATTTCACAATACGCTACACCGGAGCCGACTCCGGTGTTTGGTTTCGGTATAGTCTGGTGTAATTCCCCAATACGGCCGAGAAAGAAGTAGGAAACATGTAAAAACAAGATTTTTCCTACATGCGGTAGTCCAAGACGAAACGTGAGGCAATGAGCAGCGTTTATATAGGGTGTCACGAAAGTTCGCTACGACAAAGCAGGAACGAGAACGTAGAAAAGAGACTGAGGGAAATCACTCACTATTCATTTGATCGGGAATTCCAAGTACTGTCCTGTTTGAATTCAATACAAAGTATGATTATAAAATCATCAGAAGCTAAGATAGTTCTAGTAACTTACATTTCTCTTCTGATAGTGACAAATCCTACTTAACTTAGCAGGTACGCAGTTTCTGACAGCTGAGTAGTACAGATATTTTTAATTATTGCCCTTTCATTTACTAGTGATAAGCATAACAAAATGCCTCGAGTTCCAAGACGTCCAAATTATCACCATGTTAGCGACTTTGACAGGGGTAGAATTATACCCTATCGAGATGTTGGTTTGTCCTATCGCGAAATTTGCCGCCGTGTTAATGGTACTCCAACGATGGTGATGCGTGTGTGGATAGAAGAAGTTCGAGGATCGCGAAGAAGGCCAACTGGTTCACCGAGGCGTACCACAGAGCGTCAGCTTCAGATCGCTGACCAATGGTTGGACTTTGAGTACACTCTATCGTCGCATTCGAGCCTTAGGACTGTTTTCATACCATCCACGGTTAGTGCTTCCTCTGACTGCGGACCACTGTCATCAACGTTCGAACTGGAGTAGAGAACGGCAATATTGGGAGGCAGAATAGTATAATCCTCATTTCCTACTCTATATTCCCTTAGTAACATCACCGAAGCGTATGAATCAGTTCTATGAAATACTATTCTCGGAAATCGCTCGGAATGGACCCCGAACACTGCCAAGGAACACTTCTTACCCTGCTTGGTTCAACAATACTATTATTTCTAAAATCAAGAAAAAGCGAAGATTATGGAAACGTTGATATTGCATTTCAAAGGTATACCACTAAAATTGAACATTGCATAGCTACTAATCCTCAAAGATTTTGGTCTTTTATTGATTCTTTGAAAAATACTTTTCATATCCCTGATACCATGATAATAATAATAATAATTAACGTCTTTTATTTGTAATATTCTTACAGGAGGCGAGATTTAGATTATATATCTATTCTACCATCTAACCGCCTTAACAATACTAGATGTAAAAAAGAAAAAAAAAAGAATTTGTTGAAAATTAATAGGCACCTGTATACAATAACGAATAATCCAAGTAAATACATAAGGAACATATGAGGACACTTATGGGTTACAACCGATTTCGCTGCTGATCAAGAAGAACTTCTTTCACTTTTTTCTTAAATTTGGATAATGGATTGGTTTCTTTTAAACTGCGGTCTAAAGAATTATATGATTTGATCGCATTGTAAATGTATGAATTCTGAAATAGAGACGTGCTGTGGCGTGGAATTGAAAAAGTCTCTCTATATCTAATATTAATACGATGCATATTCCCTCTACGTATGAATTTGTTTACTAAATATGACGGTGTTTTTGAATAAAGAACCTTGTGAGTCAGATTTAGGAGCTGGTACTTATACATTTTATCAATTTTCATCCATTTGAGTTCATTAATGGCATTCGATATATGATCATATTTTCTGAGATCATTTACAAGCCTGCAACATGTATTCATAATACTTCGAATACGATTTCTTGTTATAATATCTAAATAGGGATAGTAAACCACTAAGCAATACGATATCTTTGAAAATACGAAATATTCACACAATTGCTTTCTCGCAGATTTATGTAATATAGCCTTATTTGCAAATAAAACTCTGAGAATAGCGTAGCACTGAGTAATTAGATAGTTCACGT